TGAACGTCTTTATTAAAATCGTCTAGGATTGTTTCCTTTTCCTGCTCTGTTACATGCATTTCAAATTTACCTGTGCAGTTGTTTTTGAAGCGGGTAGTAGTGCGGTAGTGTTCTGTATCGATCAGTTCTTGGGTCTTACTAGCCGCCACTGCTGAAACAATGGCTGGGACGTGCAGGGACTCCTCACCTCCTGAGGGCTACAGACAAAGGAACACACTCTGCGTTGGGTTTTGGACGTGTCCTGGTTATGGAATTTCATTTGAAATCGGCTGGAATACCAACTGGCAAAATAGACTATATATAATTTATTAAGGCTATTAAATTGTCAGTAGAATAATATGGTTTGTAATGCATCTTGCCAGTATCAATTGAGTGAAATGCTTTTTAAGTTGTCACCTCAGCTGTTAGGTTAAAGAATACTGCAGTTCTTATATTTATGGTCATTATATAGATCTGTGAAAAGTGTGCCATTTTTATGCAAGATGTGTGTATAACATCGTGGTGGTAGGTTGAAGTGAGGAAAATAAATACTGATCCATATTCATCTTTAGGGCGTTTTAATCCCGAAGATGTATGCGACTTTCATTGCATTTGGGTGTCAACGGGATTCCATTGGAGACCCCCTTCTTGGTGCCTCGTAATTTCCATGAATTCCAACATGGTTGCCCACGGTCTTGTGAGGTTAGGATCAGTGTAACTTTTGTGTCGACAGATGCTGAGAAACGTGCGACTTTTACCTCATGAAATATTTTACGTAGACTATTTATATGATATAATGAACTCAAAAGAGGTTGAATTAATTACTCCTCTAGCTGTAACCCACAGATAAATAATGTTCAGAAGACGTAGATTATTGCATCTACAAGTTTCCAACATGATGCCGATCGGTCAACATTTTTATTCCTTGTATATAATTTCAGCCATTGTTATATCTTGATTCTTGTGGCAGTGAAGTCCTTCTTAAAGTTCTTTCAAATTGAACTTGTTATGCCGGTATTTATAACAAAAACAAAGGACCCCTTCCATTGTACAGAAATGGCCTGAAGAGGATGAGGGCACGTCTATAAACAGTAGCCAGTATCTATAGGTTGTTTAAAATCACGTGATGTAGTGTTCTTCGTAATTTAATCTTCACGTGTCTCAAAAGGACCCTTTTATGACTTCATATACAGAGGAATTTTGCTTGACGGGTGTTTCATACATTATCACGTAATGCAATTGTGGTCTGAAATTATGTGGGCTCTGCTTTAATCTTTAGCATTGCTTCATTCTGATAGGGGCATTGTCATCTGTCAGATGAAACAGAATAACTCCGCAAACAATATCAACACCGCGAAGACATCGTATTTTTTGCTTACAAAAGTGGCTTAGTCCAGTTTAAAACTTCCACACTCCGCAAACAATATCAACACCGCGAAGGCATCGTATTTTTTGCTTACAAAACAGGCTTAGTCCAGTTACCGTTATTATAACACTTCCACGAGGCCCATTTAAATATTATTCTCGCATCTTGTTCTTTAAAGAGGCTTCTATCAAACCATTCTGCACTTATGTTTTCCGTGTCTGTGATAATGGTAGTTAGATTCAAGCCAGCCCACAATAGCCTATTTAACGTATTGTGATGTGTTGGGGGTTGGCATTGTTGAACTGTTTAATGACATTGTTGTATTCATGCATTGTTGTATTATTATTTACATTGTTGCGTTTAGCATTGTTGTGTTTACATTGTTGCGTCTGTTTATTGGCATTGTTGTATTTGTATAAAAGCCCTCAGTTAGCTTCACCAAACTTTGCCCTTTGTAATTTAAAACGTTTCGCTAACGATCTGCTCACTCTTCATCAGAAGAACATAACGATAACACCGTCGGTTGTTGTGATGTTTTTCATAAAGTGGAAAGACGTTTTAGTTGATTAAATTCATTATTGCTGGAAGACTTTGTGGTCTCTTACAATCCAACCAAGTTTACAACTGAGATCGGATTTGAGGTAGTAGACCCCGCAAGAAATCAAGGGTTGACAATCAAGGTTGTATACCGACCCACGCTACAATATATATATTTTAAATTTCACGTACCCGCTAAGATGTCTTCGCGTACCCCAGGTTGAATACCACTGTTCTAGCTTCAAGTTCCATAAGGACAGTGTGCTAAAATGATATGAGATATGAGTTATGAGATTCACAGAGGGGTGAATATGTTGATTTTGGTGTTTAGCCTTGCAGTTTGTTACCAAAGTTTCGGAGGGATATATCGCTTGAATCTTCAAGTCTGAAAGCGGATGAGGTAAATTCTTCCCAGCTACGAGGCTACGTTGTTAGAACCCAGGAGACCACAATCGACAACGATGAACGAAGTTTCTTACTCCGTAATATTTTCGATTCTCTTTTTATGTCATTTCTCTTGTTTCGAATTTTATCCTTGCTAGTCTACTTCGTTTTCAGATTGTTCCAATATTTTTCGTTCCCAACGTTAATTCCCAGTTTCATGACACTGACGAAATACCAGGGTTTGAACTGAACCCTGTCTCCTCCTGGTTTTATTTCGAAACGGGATTTTACAGAAATTGTTCATTTTACCTGGAAATCCAGGGAATTATTCCTCATTCGACATATTGACCTGAGCGTAACTGTTCATATCTTGATGAGAGAGACTGCCGCTGAACGACTCCAAAATATCCACAATATAAACATAAATCCATTTTAAATACATTATTTTAAATTCGAGATTATCGCTTGCCCACTGAGTGATGGACTAGAAATCTGTTATAAATTGAGGATAATTCTGAAGGACTGCCTCCAGAAATATCTACTCCAAAATCCGACGCTCAGTTCGTCGTATAACATTTTTAAGAACACAGTCAAACCTCAGAAACACCAAATAGCCTTCTAAAACACTTTTATTTTCGTCATAAAAGTGTACAGCGGTAATAACGAAGACTTGACTGACGCGCGCTGATTGGTTTAACTTTCACCACGTAAGAATCCTCGCTGTATCTCGTATTAGCATTCGCCCACCTTCTTGTTCGAATCTCACATTAGTCAAATTTTTGGGGAACTGCGTGTACTCGCGCGGGTGACGTGGAGTAGTACAGGACGCTGGTTTTATGCATTTTAAGATGCTTTTCTGAAGAGAATTGAGGTAAAAGAGACTTGTTTGAGATTTAAGGTTCTCACGGCGGTGAAGCTGGCAGTGTTGGTGTCCTGGATTGTACGTAAGGCGTCTGCTCCTATGTGTAGACACCAGTGTTTCAGAGGAACACACTGCCTCCATCTTTAGGGCTACACCATTGTCATTTTAGTTTAGTTTGGTGTATTTTAAGTGTCTGAATGGCATTTTACGTAGACGTGTATACTATCTAATGAATTAACTTGAAATACAGCATTTCTCTTGTTCGAGTTGGATTCTTTATATCACGTAGAGAGTAGACATACTTCGTGTGTAAACAGAATTTACCATTTTAATGCTGCCCGAAGTTACATTTTCCTCATTCTTCTTGATTCTCACTCCTGTGTAAGCCGTGGATTCGGCAGTTACAGAACCTGAGTGGTTTGTTTGTTCACTTAGAAATGTAAGGGAGTGGTCGCAGGATGCAGGAAAGCTCTCCCGTCCTTCACATGTCTTAAAACTAGTCAGAAGTAATGGCCATGGCTTCTTCAGACCCCGCCAACGGTTTGTGAAACCGCAGTTGGATGATGGAACACTTACAGACACCTGCATGTAAGTTAGTTGCTTTGGGAGGGAGAGTCTGGCCGACAAACCTGAAAAACATGCAGTTTCTGGAGACGTCCTGAAGGTGTGAATATTACACACTTAGTTAATTAATATAGTAACCACTTAAATCTCAGTGGTAATCATACGTGCCACATGATTTAATAATCAGCAACTGTGTATTTACAGGTCTTGTTATTTTCTTAAACAGCGTAAAGCAGCTGATATTTGTATGGAGATGTTTTCTTTGCGGTACGGGTTGAAATGTTAAATATTATTTAGAAATTATTTGGATCTGAGAAGAGAATATCATTTATATAAATTTGTACATAGAAATCCGATGAACGTCTGTAGGCCTAATCAGTGGGTTTTTTTAGAAACTCATTTTCGATATTTGTTCTTAATGCGATATTTTTACCAACAGATTTAAAATAAATTTGCTGGTAAACCTTTAATGCTAAGTAAAAGTTTTCAATAAAATGTTAACAGGATTGATCGATATTCAGACCTTCGATAATTTCGAGGACTTTTTCCTGCACTGAACACGACTGTATTGATGAGAATCGGATACGTGGAGGTAAAGCTCCCTTCTAACTTTTATGAGAGATTGAATTCTCTTAGCCCAGTGGTAAATATAAGTACCACGTTTTTAACAATCAGCAACGGTGCGTTGTGTATTTGTGGGTTTAATATGATTCTTAGTGCAAACATCAATAATGTGCTTGAACAACATTGACCACTTGATTTTTGTAACGAGAAATGTTGTGTTTCCTTTGAGGTACGGACTGAATTATTAAAACATAGTGCTATTGGTGAGGAATTAGAATTCCGGTTTTAATTCTCAGGTTTTCGCGGCTGAAGTTTAATGGATAACATAGGCTTTACAGGGTACAAGCCATGTTACTTATCCAAAGTTTCTGCAAACGTTACAGTTGCCATCTTCAGGGTGAATGTCAACGCCCTTTTTTTAACCACACGGTCGTCACTTCTTTTCTAGATTACATTAGTCACTAAAAACGGCATAGTGGCTGAACACTTTTATAATTTTCTTTTCTTGAACCTTTGTTTGTTCCTCCCGCTTCTCTGTTCGTCCCACCACGTCTTTTTTTCCCCTCACACAGGGATATCCGCCCTGAAGATGGCAACTTTTAATGTTTCCGAAACGTTCGAAATTCGACGCGGCGTTTCAGCCTTTTTTTTTGGTACGGAAGTTGAACATTCCTGCGAAAGAAATACGTACTTTAGTGTCGACTACTTTCTTGGTCCTGACGCTGTTGATTGTCTCTGTTCCAGTTATGGAGAGTGAGACGGAGCGTTCCAGCGGGTCGACTTTGAGTCCCAGTCCGTTCGCAGGCATTGACGTCATACCCTACAGTCCATCGAGTCCGTTCTTGGACAGCGCACTTCCCAGTGACAGCGATCATAATAACGACCACCACAGCTCTGAGGAGGAGCTGGAAGTGATCAACAACCCGAGCAAGTGCGCTGCCTTTGGTAGTTCTCTGAAGGAACTGCTGACTTGCCGCAGTGGTAGCGTCAATGCGGTGGTGCCAGAGAAACGCAAGTGGTCTCAAGTAACGAGCAGTTCCGCATGCTCGCTTAGTAATACCAATCATCTGTCTACAAATTCGTCGGATCTCTTAACGATATCGTCGGGGAGTTGTTCCTCCCTTCACGGAGGGAATGGTAGTAACGTGGCGGCGTTAGCCGGTGCAGGTGGACGGGCTTCGGTGGCTGTCGTCACTACCACGCCAGCTGCAGATCATAGTTCCGGTAGTTCCGATGAAGAAATTCAGGGGCTGCTCGCAGCCATGGCGACGCCTGTAAAGTTCCGAACGACCCCGCCGCTGGACGTTCACAAACCCGGTCTTTCCCTTTCGCCGCCCCCGAAGTTATTTCATTTTGGAACACAGTCTTCAGCCGCTGCAGCACTGGAGGTGTCACCCAGGAAGAGACATCGCCATACGCCCCGAGCGCACCACATCCAGCGACCGTGCCTAGACTTCGAGAAGATGCAGCTGGTAAGTAGCCAACCAAGAGTATTTGCTGTTCCTTGTTGGGCCTCGGAACGGAATTTGCATGGCGAATCCGATCCCCCCCCCCCCCCCCAAGCCGCCATCTTTCCATTACGAAGTGCCATATACACCATTTCCCCCTCTTAGACGATGGTTTATTTGGTGTTCATCGCCAAAGTAGCAGAGGGTGTTGTGTGTGGGTGGGTGGAGAATTGCACCTTATTTTGTCGCGGTTGATTCAGGAATAGACTTAAAATGTCTCTTATCGTGAACATTGGGAAGTTCTGATTCGAAATAAATGTACCTTTCTTCTCTGTGTGGGGGATCAACTGTAATAGCCTATGCACATTTTGCTTAGTTGCCATCGGTGGTACGATATTTTTAATACGCTGCTCGAAATTTGTCGGTGTTGGTCTTCTGAGTTATATTGCCGTGTAGAGTCATAGATAGATACACACGTTTCGGTTGAACAAACTGTCTCCATCTTCAGTGCTGAAGTAGCTTTCACTTCTATAAAATTTGTCTGAGAACCTTGAGATCTGGTAGAATATCTATCATTTCCCTGGCTACTTGTGGGTAGTCATTTCGCGAAATCTGTCCTGTCTCGGAGATGTCGTAGACAGAGCTTATGAAATATTATATTGGTAAGTGTTTGAAACGTAACCATAAGTTAATACTTTTATGCGTGGGATTGCCGAGTTTTTTTTGTGACGGCTGAACTAATGGTACAGTGCTTACAGAAACTTGGAAATCGATAGAATTCAGTCATATTTTCATTTAGAGTAGAGGTTATATTGGATCGATATCGAACAAAATAAAATTAGTTCAAAAATTGTTCAGTCATAAAATTTATCCATTATATCTTCCTTGGAAAGGACGTATGATTTATGTATTTATTATACGCATCCGTTTTACTTCTTACATGACAATTTTTATAAGATTTAACTATTTAAAGCCGAAGATCGTCGAAATAATATTTTAGAATTTAGTCCGTACCGCAAAGAAAACATTTTATTTCGAAGATTAAATGGCTAATTTTGTTTAAGAGAATAATCACTGTTCTGAGAATCGTGCGAAATCCATAAATATAAATGCAGTGTTACTCATTGTTAAACCGGATGGTACGTATAGTTACCATTCGGCCTTAAAGGTTAAACTATCTGTTTGGGACATCTGTCGGCCTGGTTCTCGGTACGAAGAGGGCTTATGCCAATACAAATTACGTTTGACTTAGGTCCTCACTAATTACGAAGTTTTGTTAGCTCGAAAGTCATGCTGACCGTGATAACTCTAATAATTCTTAAAATGATGAAATATCATTGGTCATCACCGTGTAGTATCAAGTAACTTTTTCTGATGATTCATGGCAACTTTCTCAATTTCCTCCTTGAATTCGCAGAAGTGATTAAATCAGCATAAAACCTACCGACGTTGGTTTCACATGAACGAGTATGAACGTGTAAACATTTTGAAAGGTTGCCAGTTTGGATGGTAGACCGATTTTTGCTGGAACATTTCAAAAACTGGCTTACGTCTTTGCATCCGTTGGAGCATATAAGTTAGACTCGGCGAGAATTGGAATTGAAAACAAACCTTACATTGGACGCAAAGTTGCTGGCTGAAAAGTAAATAAAAATCAGAAACTTATTTGTATAAATCATTCACCCCAGAATAAAGTGCCGTGTATACAGCGTGTCGCACAAGTTAGCGGCCATAGGAGAGAGAACTCGGTTATTTGGTAAAATACGGAAAATATGAAGAGTGAGAAGTTTTTGCAAATCACGTGTTTCCAGTCTATAGTGTTAGAAGTTTTTACTCAGGACGAGCTACTTACAATGTCAGTACTAAAACGGACTCGCGATGTTGACTTTCCATTTCGCTGGTCGCTGTTTTCGTCGTTTCGTCAACATGTACCTCGTCCCCCTACTCTGGTAAGATATTCTACATTTGTCAGTACTCAACAAGAGCTTTCGTAATGTCTCGAGCAAATGCTTAACAAAGGAACTCTTCACTCGCGTTTAAAATTTACCCGGGAAGAAAACCTGATAACGCTTGCTACCACGCAGATCAAAACCCTTTGTGTTCCCTTCTGTTATTCTAGAGTTGTGTCGTACTGTGTATGTAGCCTCTGATACCCTCTACTGCCATTGTACGTTGTAAAAATTCACGAGCTTCCTCCGAAAAAGTCGGTATTCCGTGGTCAGACGGGTTTTTCTGAAAAAAATGGGTTCTGTCAACAACCAGCAGATGTCAGAATGATCTAGAGAAACAAAATAACTTTGCAGGTTGCACTTTTTTATCGTCTATGGTCAGCTTGACCGTCGTGACCCCCTTTTTGGGGGGTTTTCTTGCGAAAGTACCTCGGTGGTTTCGCCTAGGTTACACTTGGGATTTCGTTATACTGTACTGTGATATACTAGGATTTTTTTTCCTACTCTTTGTGGACGATTTTGACCAAAGACACTTTATTCTTGTTCCAAAATGTTTTAAAAAAGTTTTAATGAACCGTTTTGAGCCATTTTCAAGTTAGCTGTTTCTTCTGTGTGCTAACTAAAATTCCATACGCCGTTGTTCTATGTACGTTTCTTTGGGGACGTAAAAAGTATATGAATGTGTTTGATCAGTGTTTTTAAACGTTTCTAGTCCTGCAGAATTTTGTAATATATTTTGATAAACCGGGTTATACGTAAGTCGAACGTACTAGACAGAATTATGGTATTGCGTTTTGCTCTGACGAAAAAGAGCTTAAAATTTGCAGCAATGCAGGATAGAAGTAAATAAAATAGTAGAATCAACTCTCGGGCCCCCTTAGGCACAGTTTGCGGACCTCGAGTTGTGTAAATACCGTATTAAATAACAGCACGCGGAAAAACAGCTACATAGGAAAGATCACGTACAATCAGAATTTCAGGCCATGACTGCCTTGGTGAATTAGTCGGGATTTGGCGAACTTAATCATTGCATAACAGAGGAAAGGCACAGAGCGCGTTGACTTCGAACGGGATTAGTGTCTTGGTGTCGTTTGCGGAAGATTTAGGTGGTCGTGTTAACTACTGCTTCTACGAATTGTCGGAAAGTTATGCTGTTCGAAAACAGTGCCGATTTATGATGTGTTTTCAGGGATGGTTAAGTGGGATTGATCTGGTAAACATCCTCACCAGTTTCCTTGCTTTGGTACAAATGTTTTATAGCTGCTTTGCTATCCATTACAGAACTACGTGGCGTTTGTTAACTAATTTGTTCGACTGTTTCGTGAGGCAATCATGTCACAATGTAGACAGTACGAGATAGTATTTTGTGCAGAATTTTTTTGAAAGGACGATTAAACTTATTTAGCTGTCAACTTCGGTTTGTTGTAGCCGTAGAATATTTAGAGAGCCGTGGTTATGTGTGGCCATTTGGCCTACATTTCAGCAACAATCTTACGCAGCTAACAGAGAGAAGGTGACGGTAGGTAGGAGAAAATTACATATTAAGGAGGTTCAGAATGTTTAAGCCTGGACAACATGTATGTTCATAAAAAAAAAAAACCAGTTGTTGGTTGGTGATCGTTCACGCATGGCCTACTATATACATGTATTACAAGGCAGCGATTTTTTTATAACCTCGATGTAAGATTGTATGCGAGGTTGCACTGTATTAAGTAAATTAATCAAGGATAAGAAATAATTTTAATTTGAGTATGCTACTTTGTTATTTTAAGTTGTCTTACTACTTTGGATTTTCATGTCATTGAACGGAAATCTCCTAGTAACATTATCAGGGCGGATCAAATTGAAGAGACAGTGACCCCCTATTTGGAAAGGGTCGATAATTTAATGTATGTGGCCAGTTTCGTGTTATATACACAGTTGTGTTCTGTTATCGATGTGTGATATTGGGGGATGTTGTAATTTTGAAACAATTGTTCGAAATGTGGATGTAAAGAGATGAATGTTTCTGGAATTATTTTATAGTTTTAACCGGAAAGCGAAAATAAGAATGACGTCATCGATTTTAAATGATGACAAATTAGGTCTGCCCTAAAGGTTTAAGTGCAAATGTTTACACGTGCGTAGGACTGCCGTTTAATAACATTTTACGTAGTATTTGTGCGCTTAATACCAACATTTGCGAATCATTACATTGGCGTTTACTGAGGCATGGTTGTCCAAATGTTTTAAGCGGGTTTTAAAATCATCTGTCGAGTCGACATTTGTAAGCCTCGAAGTTCACTGTTTATTCGGCTTTGAAACTAGTTCGCCGACGTTTTTTTTAAAAAGTATTAGCTGATACGGACGGCTTCCTGGTTCTTATAATAGAACAAGTTTTATGGGGATAAACCTTGTTGGTATGGTTTGGGGATAATTTAATCGTAATTGTAGTTTTGTTTAACTTGCTGGAGAAACTTTCCTTATGTCCTGGCTAGTAAAATGTCAGTTTCTGTTTCTGTGACCCTTTTATGACCACTGTTACTGAACGGAGGCGTGATTTTGTAGTACGAAATTAACTTTCATCCACTGACACGTAAGCACACACGAAGCTGGTGAAATTTGAAAGGTTGTTCAAGTACTTAAAAATTTAGTGGTAAACAAAACGTATTAGAAGTTATAAGAATCTCATTTTTTTGGGTGTTATTTTTGGGAATTGGGGAAGAATTAGTAATTATAGATGGAAAGTTATATTTTTTATATCGAAAGTTCGAATACGTCACATGTATCCGCGTTATTGTGTCATTAACTCACTTAAGACTAAAGCTTGTCTCAATAATACTAAATACTGATTTCGTACTCCAAATAGAACAACATTTGACCAATGCAAAGATCAGCTTTTTAATGCTGTTTAAGGAATTGACCCTGGTTTACATTGAAAAACTTTGAAACACGTAAATAGAAACTGGACAGTTATAGTTACAGGGGTTTAAAGGGTTAAAAAGAGACGTCTTTTGTGTTATAAAATACCCTTTCCCAAAACCAGTTCTCAACTGTATGTGTATCTTGATTGGTATTATTCGTAATGGACTCGCT